CTGTATAACAAGCCAACCCTAACTATAGGATTTATCAAAAAGGAAAGTTTTAAGCCCAGTCTTAAAACTGGACATGTCAGCCTCATGGACGGAAAATGGAAGTTGGTTCCACGAGAGAGGAGCCTGATAACTGGAAGATCTTCCTCCCATTGTGCTTTTGGAAACTCTAGGAACCGTGAGTATGGAACAATAAGATCTGTAATATAAGATGGAGCTAGTTTATTGAGAGCTTTGTAGATTAGAAGTAAGATTTTGAATTCAATTCTGGATTTGACAGGGAGCCAGTGAAGAGAAGCTAAAACTGGAGATTTGATTTCTCCTATTAACTCTATTCAAAGCATTACATTGATTTTACGTGTAATTTGGTGTTTTCAATTCTGACACAAAAAAGAGAAACTGGTTTAAAGCTCTTCAGTCTCACTTTTCATATTTTTTAACTCCCCACATAAAGTGTGAAAATGCTACAAATATAAAAATACTTAATGCCACAAACAAAAATGCAATGTTTAATAATTGTTACTGAGTTACTAGAAGTGTTGCAGTTGTTCTCATTATTTTCAAGCTCCTTAGATTTGGTGAAGTTGTTCCACAAAACCACACACAGTCAATTAGTCTGACATCTGTTGTTTATCACTTTATTGTAACTGTACAAAAAATTCAGCAAATAAAATACTTGTTTTGTGAAATTCATTTGGCAAGTTTTACAGAGGTAAAATGATCCATACGTTTAGTTTAATTTTTTTTACATGGTTCATTTTTTTTTGGTGAACACGCACACATTTGTGAGTTGTTTGTTCTTTTTACTAGTAGAATAAAAATGTTGTCCACCACTAAACAGCAACCACCTCCACTTTATCAAGATACAGCAAATGTATTGGAAGGAAAATAAAACTACACGGAAAAAAAAAATACATTATCAAAATACATTATTTATAGAATGAAAAAGGTTGAGGGAAAAAAATCCTGTTTATTTTTGTACAGTAATCCACCCAAATCCACTCTGTCAGACAGAACTGTGCAAAATAAAGATGCAAATAAATTAAGAATCACTCACATACACATAACTTTTCCCCTAAAGGATTGTTTGATCCACTAGAAGCATAGTGGCCTGAAGATTAAAAATAAATTTTTTTCTGTCTATCTAAGGAGTCAATCATCACAAGTAATGTTTTTTTGTTTTGTTTATTTTAAGAGCGCATTTTTCTTATAAAATGTGTCCCAGCCTTGTGGAAAGAAATACAGTCCCCTTGGGTTTAACTTCTGCTTCAGGACTGGTCACAACAATCCCACTGTTTTTATTTCACATTCTTTATTTAAACTAAATCTAACCTCCTGATTCACTCAGTAACACCAGCGGGAGATAAACCCAGCCTCTAGTCGGCACAGAGGGGAGGAATGAAGACTAAAAGTCAAGTTTGTCCCTGAAAATTGAGACATAAAAACGTCCTGGATTTAGCTGGAGTGAGGGGCTGTTGGGTCTCAGCGGGGGTGTCGTGCTTTCAGATGAGAGGTGGGTGGGGGGGGAACTCTACGAGTTGCTGGCAGCATTTTCATTACTAGGTGAGCTTGGGGAGGAAGAAGAGGAGGAAGGGGGAGAGAAGTTAATTCCTGATAACCCTGGAGGGTCTGTGGCTGTGTTCTGTCCGCTCAGACTCTTCCTGCACACCGGACACGTGTCGTGCTGTCAGAAAGAAGAAACAAAATATGTTACCGTTAAAATGAGTTTAAAAGCTGTTTTGGAAAGTAGATTATTATCCTGCACGTGCACAACATGCATGAAGCAACCAACTTTTCTCAAACTAGAACAATCCAACAAATTAATACAGATAAACTCCAAGAATGTCCCAGGATTGGGTGGGAAGAGTACAAAATTTTGATTTTAAGTAAGCAACTTAACTTTATAGTTATTAAGCCCATGCATGCACAACTGGGAGTAAACTGGTTCCAAAAGGCAAAAAAAAAACCCAAAAAAAACCAGTGATAAATGAGCTTGTGTTGCTGAAATTTGATTTTAAAATTTAAGATTTGGTCAGGATAATGTGACAAAGTACAAAGTCACACACACAAAAAAAATGCCTGGTTAAAGAAAATAGAAAAGGCAGAAGTTTCAGGAAGGAAATGTTGAGAGAAGCACAGAGAAATTTATACAGTAGTCCCTCGTTTATCACGGGGGATCCGTACCCTGAAGACCCGCGATAAGTGAAAAACGTGAAATAGGAATAGTAGTACAAGTAGTAAGTAGTTTATTTTATTATTTATATGGATGTGTATATATAAAAGGTATTTTAAACCCATCCCACACTCTTTCAATTTTCTAAACAATGTTTCTAAACTCTAAACGCTCTAAAAGAGCACAGAATGTCATGATTTCAGCTCTCTGCCTCCTCTGTTCTTTGCCACCTGAAAGCGCTCTTGGCCACGCCCACTTCTCCACTCTGCACACTGAACATCTCATCAGCTGCAGCAGGAAGTTTATACTGCAGCAGGAAGTTTATACTGCAGCAGGAAGTTTACACTGCAGCAGGAAGTTTATACTGCAGCAGGAAGTTTATGCTGCAGCAGGAAGTTTATGCTGCAGCAGGAAGTTTATACTGCAGCAGGAAGTTTATACTGCAGCAG